AATTCAGACTGGACATCAGGAAAAAATTCTTTACAGTGAGGGTTGCCAAAATATGGACTACGCTTCCAAGGGAGGTGGTGCTGTCCGCTTCCTTGGAGGTGTTTAAAAAGAGATTGGACAGACACCTGGCTGTGGTCATCTGAACCCAGCACTCTTTCCTGCCCAGGGCAGGGGGTCGGATTCGATGATCTAATAGGTCCCTTCCAACCCTACATCTATGAAACTATGGAAGTCCAAGCAGGTGCTTTAGCAAGGGGGCAGCTTCAAGGCCAAGCACAAGCCACATATACAAAGTGAAGGGGCACTGGCTGTGGGGGCAGAAACAGCTTTGCCAGCTGCCCCAATAAACAGCCCCACAGGCTGCTACTGTCAGGGCCACAAGCCCCAGCTTAACCGCCTGCTGCTCTCGGCCATGGCACTGACCGAAGGGGAGTGAGGTGGGGCAAGTGACTGCCCCCAGCTGCACCTCAGGGCCTTGTCTTGGTGGCTCACTGAAACTGTAGTAAGCATTAGCGTGCCACATTAAAAGCCAGAACCCACTCTGTGCAGTCTTTCAGTAATTACTACTACAAATCTCCCAACCCACAAGCCTCACAGGGAGCTCTGCTAAGCCTGGACTCTGCCACCCAGGGTGGATGGAGAGGCCCGGGGAGCCAAGCCTGACAGAGGTGCTGGATCCTACGATCACAGCCAGTTTGAGACTCTGGTGCAGTCCTAAGGCTGGGCCCAACGATCAGCAGCCCCAGACCTGGAATCACAAATTGCTCCTTTTATCTCTTTAGAGCAGTCAGATGATAGCAGAATGTGGGCTAGTTAATGCGACGCTCCTCCTGCAAAACATCCTAACTTTGCCATATGAGCACGCTTAGTACATTTTACTGCTTGAACACACAGACTCGTGTTATAAGTGCACTTAACAAGTGCAAAGTGTAACATCCGACAAAACCTTCAGCTTTCCTCTCTGTAAGGCTGGTGTAATGAGCCTGCCCTGCCTTTGTGGAAGTCCTGGAAAGACACGCTGCAAAGCGGAGCCGAGCTCAGGGACTCCAGCAGACCCCTGCTGCTGCATCTGACCTACAGCACCTGTGGTGAGAGGATGCCACTTGCGCATCTCAGTGGGGAACTTGCCACATCCCAGCCCCAGGCCTCACAACCAGCCCAGATGCTTACCCCATAGCTGTTGACACTTCAGCTTGCCAGGGCAAGGTCCCAGGATCCTGTCCTCGGGTGCACTGAGACCTGGGACATGGCAGGGGTCGGTACCAAGCCAGCACAGGCCCTCTGTGCCACTTGAGCCAGTTTCTCGGGCAGGCAGGTACTGGACTTCGCCATAGGACTCAGCAGCAGCTCTGCAAAGCAAGCTGAAAAGGTTTGCTGTGGGTTACAGAGAAGAGGCCTCTCGAGCCTTATCAGCCCCAGCCCCAGCAACATGTGCAGGACAGCAGCCAGGGTGATAAATAATGCAGGCAGCTGCCATCAGAGGAGCAAAAAGCCCCTCACAGCCATTGCCTCCTTATGCCCATGTCTCTGATGCTCGTGAAGGGACAAAGCTAGCCAGCACAGTAACATTTCAACCAGCCCAGAGGTGGCTGCACTTCAACAGCAACAGGACTTGATCCCAACAGCAACAGACCCTTTTTCATAGATTTATTTCATAGACATTAGGGCTGGAAGGGACCTCGGAAGATCATCGAGTCCAGACCCCTATTTTTTTTTGCAAAGGGCTTTCCCTGAGAGACGGGGAAACTCCTGCCACCAGAAGCTGGAAAGGAACCAGGCTGCAGCACACACTCCCCCTCTTCCACCCCTGGTATTTCGGGCTGCTGCTTCAGGGCTGCCATGCAGTTCTGAGGCCTCTCAGCCGTGGCCTCTGCTGCTGGAAATGTCCTCTGATGCCCTTCCAAAAGGGCCTAGCAGCCTGGCCCAGCTGACCTAATGGAGCAGTGTGATGACAGCATAACCGATTGCCCACACAGCAGCCCTGCGGTGGAGGAGGGAGGCGGGTGGAAAGGCAAGATCCAGCAAATGTAGAGCAAAAAAAACCCAGCTCATTCGACCCCCATTTCCCTTTTTATTTCCCATTAGTCACTGCCCAGTGCTCACTTCCCCTCCCCCAAGTGGGTTCGCTGAATAATCTCCCCCAGACAATCCCCAATTGTTCGGGGCATTGTTGGGATTCAATGGGAGGAAGGGTGTTTTTGAAAGGGGGGCTCAGGAGAGTCGTCTCTGTCACAGCCGTCCTGGGGCCAAGTCAATTCTCTACTCTGCCTCAGTTTCCCCATGTAACATGCAGGTGATACCTGCCTGGCCCACGAACCGCTTGAACAGATCGCTGCATTAATGCACGTGGAGCGCGGCCGAGGCAGAATGGCTGCACAGCGCTCCAAGAGCACCGCGCCGTTTGGTCCTGAAACACACATGCAATCTGATCAGAGACGCTCGATGTCTGGATACAGGACTATAAGACTTCCCAGTATTGATCTATTGTTGAAGCTTCAGAGAAAGTCTGAGAAGCAACACAATGGCCCCTCTGCACAAATACTCAGGGGGTGACTGCAAGACAATGGGGGAAGAGGCCAGTAGTGAGGATCCTGTCTCCAACAAGATGCAAGTCTGAGTAGCCAATGCTGGGAAACAACAGGCTCTCAGCAGTTTAGAGAGCCCCCCGGTCTTCAGGAAACAGAGTGAACAAAAGGAGCCTAGGGTGCCTAAAGACGTTTTTTTCCTGCTTCAGGGTTTCGGGAGAAATGCTCTGAGGCTTATAGGAACCATCTCTGCTAGCCAGACCACAGAGATCTCAGGGCAGAGGGTCTACAGCAGCATTTAACCAACTGTGAGCTCCCTGCTTAAGGCGGTCAGATGCCCAAGGAGCTAAGCAGGCACGTAGTCTGTTTTAGGACAAGTGGTTCTCTGTAGTGCTTTGGTTGTCATGAATATGACTGCTACTGTAAGGAGGCGATTAGTCACTTGGTGTCATTGCCAGGGGACAAGGAAAGGGCACCCCCATCCCCTCCATCTCTTCAGGGGGCAGGACCACAGGGCCAGGGTATATGTCAATCCTGGAGCCCTGGTCTGAGAAGGAGCAGCCAGTGATGACATGACTGCCTCCAGCCCCAAGTTGGGAGTCCCTCAGAGAGACTAGGACACAGGACCTGAGCCTCAGCAGGCACCAGTTAGCCTCGTGCCCTCCATTTCAGCACAAGGAGAAGGCCCAAAGGCTGGAGATCAGGTCCCTTGCTGGGCTGGGCCCAGGGCAAAATGCTCCCATTAAAGACAAGCCTGGAGAGCTAGCTCCCCCACAGACCAGGGGATGGCAGGGGCCACGAGGCAACAGCAGAGACAAGCCTGAGGAAACGCAGGGCCCAGCAAGGTGCCACGCAGCTCTGCCATGGCAGGCACCCCCATCATCTGAGGGCTTGAGCTGCTGACACAGGAGGTGCTGGCGGCGCAGCAGGGCATGAAGAGACTTAAGCCTTGCACCCACAAAAGCTGCAGGTGCAGAGCAAGGTGCAGGATTTGCAGTCCCTGCTCTGTGCTCCCAATGGCTTGCTGCACAACTATGGGTACATTACTGTTGTGCCCTGTGCCTCAGTTTCCCTTCCTCCATTAAAACCTGGGAGGGGGCAGGAGATGGGAGGGCTCATAAAGCACCCAGACTTGAGTGCTGAAGGCCAAAGGGCTATTACAGCCCCATGAGGGGAACAATGCACAAACAAGTGCAGCAGATAAACACAGCCAGCGAGGGCTGCTAATAAAGCTGTCAAGCACAGGCTCCACGCTCTGGCTGGCTGCTCCCTCAGCCATTACCACAGAACATCTGTGGGAACCGGGGTGACCTCTCACCCCATGGCGCTCAAGGAAATGGGGCTGGCGCGAGGCAGAGCGCTGAACTGGCTGCTGACCTTGGGGCCTCACGTGCTGTGGGACAGCGCGGTTGCCTCCAGCCAGGTGGGAGGATGGCCAGGCCAGCATTAAGGGAAGGCTCCAGGAGCAAGGAAACATTAGCAGCTGCACCGTGGCCAGCTCGCAGGCCCTGGGGCATGTGGTGACTTGGTCTCAACAGCTATCAGAAGCCACGGTTCTGCCAGTCTGGATCCATCTGCAGCCTTTAGCAAGAGCAGGGTCATGTCCTACTACAGCTTATACCCCAAGCTGGTCAAGCAAAAGGAAGCTCATCCCAAATCCAGCCCATTCCCTTCCCTCTCTTGCAGCTCATGACCCATTTCTTCTCACCCCCAGCTCCCACCTGGTACTTTTCCTCTTGTAAAGACAAGAGACCAGTGATGCACCCTCTTTCCCATGGATGAGGGAAACTGAGGCACTGAGAGGCAAAATGCCGTGGCTAAGGTCAACCAGCAGGTCCATGGTGGAGCGGGGAAGTGAACCCAGGTCTGAATCCCAGCCCAAAGTCACGTGCTGGAGATGAAGTCAAGGTCCAGAGAGACAGAGATAAGATAAGGCTGCAGCAGAGGAGCCTCCCCTCTACCCACAACAGCCAGGCTCACACACACGTTTTAAGCCAAGTCCACAGCTGGTGCCAGCCCCCAGCACCCAAGGGAGGTCACACCAGATTCCACGTCCTTTGCTGGGAGTGTCCTCAGAGGGCCAGATCCCCTCCTCCCAGGCAGATCGGATCATCGCAGCCCTTGACACTGAGAGCTGCCTCCCAGGACAGCTCGAGGCTCTCCCCTTTGGAGCGGCTGGTGCCAAGGCTTCTGCTCACAACCAGCCTCCAGGAAGCACTTCAAAACACCACAGCACGCACATGCTTCAAACCCCAGAGGGTTGTAGTGCCAGCTGCATTCTTAGGTTGAGCTTCGAGCAGACTCTGTGCCCTAGCCCATGAGCACCGTCCACCAGGAAACAGTCCTGCCTCAGCCACCTCACTGCTCCTCCAAATGGACCAGGCTCCAGAGAACAGCCTTCCCCAGCCATACGTCTACTGGAGAGCCAGCCACACGTGCAGCCCTGTGCCTGATCCAAACACACACACACCAACCCATTTTCCACATGCATACCCTTTAATTTCAGCGGGAGATGCAGGCTTCAGCACTTCTGCCAACTAAGCCAGCAGTCAAGGCAGATCCTCCTAGGCAGAGAAACTGAGCGGCGTCTCTTCTGCTGGGGGAGTGAGATCCTTGAGTTGTGAGGCTGGATCCATGTGGTGTGGCTATTACAGGCCCTCTGCAAGGGCAATGGGGGTCCACCGGCCTTGGAGTAAAACGTCCCGTGTCCCAGCTGTTGAGCAGAGATTGTGTGCAGACCAGAAGGGAATGACCTCCCTCTCCAGACGCAGCTGCATTTCTGCATACAGGGAGCCTGGGGATGACAGGCAAAAGGCTCAAAGCCTCAATCCTGGACCTGGAAAGAAGGGAAGGCTGCAGTTCCTAGCTGTTGTGCAGAAAGGCAGCACCCTGTGCTTCTTCCTGAACCAGCCCTTTACTGTGGCCACGGACCCCTCTCCTTTGGAAATGGATGCCCCTCACCGCCACTTGATGGCAGCACTACCTCAGCATCCCCCACAAGCACCCTGGCAGGGCCAGAGGGTTGGTGCCTGGATTTCAAGCATTTGCACTCCCTGGATTTGGCTTCGACTGCTCCAAGCTACCCCAGGGGGTCAGCTTGGCAAGGCAGGACCCCAGACCCAGCTCCCTTCAGCTCACCCCCCGCCCCCATCCCAATCATACAAAACAGCTTCCCCGCTGTTGGGAAGATGTTCTCCTCCCAGATAAGAAAGGGACAGGGAAAGGGCTGAGGCTGACCACTGTTCAAAGCAGCTGCTGGTTGTGAGGAGGGGGTGGGAAAAGCAGCTCCTGGGAAAGCCCCTCGATACCCAACTAGGCCACAATCTTCAGGGCATCCCCTCACAGCACCACGGCTTTCAGCCAAACAGTGAGGCCCAGACACGCTCAGGATGTTTGGGGCAGGACACAAGATGAGCTCGAACCCCCAGGCCAGGCTTGCATGCAGCCATCCTCCCCCGAGCCACCCCAAAGCCCCGAGCCTGGTGACAAGCCCTGGAGGAGGGAGACAGCTGAGTCACGTTCCTCCGCCAAGGACATCCACTGGGGGCAGCGTCACTTCCCGGCCACCCCCACCCGCTGCGCCCTTGACCGGAGGGCAAATTTCAGCCTGGCCCTTGCAGCCAGGCTCTCCGTGCAGCAGCCCCGCACCCAGGGCCAGACGAAGCAGACACAGAAACCAACCGGGCCCCTTCTCCCCCTCGCCGTGGTGTCTCGCAGGCCGACCCCCCGCCCAGTCGTCACCTCCTACATGCAACACAGAAGACGCGGGTGGGAAGGGACCTTGGGAGCTCGCATCTAGCGCACCCCCCTGCACAGAGCAGGACCAGCCCCATCTACATCATCCCAGCCAAGGGCTTTGTTTAGGTGGGTCTTAAAAGCCTCCACGGAGAGAGATCCCACCGCCTCTATGGGTCGCCTAAAAACTCTTCCTAATATCCTACAATGAGCCCATTGCTCCTTCTGTCACCTGCCGCCACTGAGAGCAGCCCTCCTCTTTCAAGCCCTGCAGGGAGCTGAAGGCTGCTATCAACCCCCCACCCCAAATCTTCTCCCCTTCAGATTAAATAAGCGCAAATCGCTCCGCCTCCCGCAGGAGCCGTGTGCCCAGCGTCGCTCCTCCCCAGCCTGGGCGGAGGGGGGGAAGGGGGGGCACGGCTATCCCCAGGCTCTCACAGGAGTTCAGTCCGGCTTGGCCCCTCCTGGCAGCGGCGCGGGCGGCCCTAGGCGCCCCCCGGGCGGTTGCGGTCGAGCACGGCGCGCGGGGCGAACTCGAGCCGGTCCTTGAGGCTGCGGACGCACGTGGGGT